GATTGGAGGTACCCCCCCCCCCACACACACACCCGGAATAAATGAATATTCATCTGAAGTTTTAAAATCCATACCTTTTCGCAAACGTTTGCCACATCTGCCTTCTCCTAGGATGGAGAGCTGCTTTAGAGTGATTAATTCTTCAAGGTGGACTTTACACCGTTCAACTCTCATAGTCTGCAGTAGACTCATAAACAAAAAATTAAGTAATGCACTACTCATGAGGTTGCTGAAAACTCTTCGACAGCCCACGACCGGTTTCGCCCTTCTTGGGGCTTATCAGGTAGGGCGAAACCGGTCGTGGGCTGTCGATGGATTTTCAGCAACCTTATGAGTAGTACATTACAAAGTCCGCTACTTGTTCTTCTCGTTCCGTTGTAGGCACGACAGAGTTCGGTACCACAAAGCTGCCCATCCCATTTTTTAATATTATTTTCTTATTCATGAATTTTTAGCGCCTGAACTTTGCGCGGGAGTTTGGTGACGTGGCCGCACAACGCCGTGCATACAGTAATTTGGGGAACGCATTCATCTTCCTTGCGGACTTCAATTCAGCTGCAGAAAACTACCGGTGAGCACCTGTACTAATTCACCAACTTTTACTGAAAACATCTCATCAGTTGGTGCGATCAGGTAATGAGAATGGAGTGATCAGTGGAAGCCACTCCTTTTGAGGTTACGGAACGATATTTCTTTGTGATCCCCTCGAGTCAAGACCATCGCTTCAGCGGCCATAGGGCGTCTTTAACAAGTAATCATACAAAGAACGGGTGGTTTGTTGAATTTCTCAATTGAATCCTTGTTGAATCACATGCTTGTGGCACTTAAGCCTGTCATGAACTAAATCCGCAAACCCAACAATTTAGTAATATATCAGGGTTTGCTCAGACCTAACAATGAGTGTTTTTCATTATCATTATTCCATTATCTCGGCCCCTTTACCAAATACCCAGGCGCCAAGGAGCAACTTAACTCGCCAACTGCCTCATGCGACCTAATAGAGTGCCATGGGGCGAATTCGAAACTACTCGAATGGCTGTGTATCCCGGCCTATCACCAGACTGGTGGTGTTTTGCATCATTAAGCGACCCAGTTCTCAGGAGCTCTGGAGCTCTAAGAGGAGTTCGTGACTTTTCCAGTTATGACATAACAGGTTGGTCGAGAGACGTGCTCACATCGTAAAAGGACTCGATCAATCGTGTTTTATTTCCAATGAGATCAAAAATCTTGCAAAGGGGAATGCGCACGTAGTCAGTAACCTGAGCTGATCTATGATACGGGATCATGATTGGCTGTAGGGTCCAGACTTTCAACCAATCAGGGCTCGCATTGATGCTTGACCGGCAAGCGGGCCGATCTTTTGGCCAATCGCGTGCAGGATGGGCTTCGTGGTCGTAACAGCGCCTAACTGTGAGCGGTAGAGCGGTATCGGTGCGGAATTCCGCCTAACATCATGTCCCCATTTTAGGACGGACCCAAAGAGGCTGATTTCAGCGGTATCTTAGTGCCTAAGGGACATACTGTACCGGTTTCGTAGCAGTTGTTTTACGCCGGTCCCGCCTCTTCTCTCGTGGCAATTTCTTTTGTCCTGTCCAAAAGACAGTAAATCGAGCGGAGGTTCGAGAAGTGGGTGTGTTGTCCCACGCAGGTTCGCTTCCTGTTGGTACTAGGTCTTGTGGTACCGTTTGCGCGTGCGCTAACGAGTGTATCTAAAATGGCCAGTTTGTCACCCTACTCAATTATGTATTTCTAAAGTGACCATTGGATGAATTTATGCACCACTCGCTAGTGAGGTGTCATCTAGATGTCGTTGATAAGGTTTTATGGAAGACATTGTCAGTTTGAGAACAATACTTTCCAGTTTGGCCACAACAAATCAACCAGTCGAGATCGACTGCAGCGTCGGCACTATGGTGACTCTAGTTTTTGTTTGAAGCTAAATATCGCGTTAACTGTGAACGCGATAACACAAAGGGTACTCTGAGGGTATGGGCCTGAAGTCCAGTATATTTGTTATGTTTGTGTGACATCACATACAACGTCTCTGGCTAGTTCCAAAGACAGCAGCAAATAAGGGCGGCACGTTGAGTGAAAATTCAGTGTTAGCTCGGTGGTTGTGAGTCATTTCGACCTAAATCTGCCGTGGTGTTGATGCCTGTAATCCTACGGGCTATACTTGCTGGAACTCAGTTCCTTAAGGCCAACAGTGGGGCAGCCCGACGAGGAACAGCGAGTCCCCGTACTGCGAGTAATCGTATTACGAGGCAGTCTGGAGGTTAAAGTCGTGCTGTCCTCTGCGACAGGAGTGTGAAGGCAGTAAGGTTTCACCCAGGCGACCAGCATATCCATATTTATGGAAGCAGCAATGCTGCCTCGAAGAAAGAAGGACGGGTTAGAAAAGGTCGGCCCCAGAAAGCGCACACTCTGGTCGCCCAACGGTTGGCCGTGACCGCCGGCGCATTATTCAGTACGGCCGAAATACTTTTAAAACCACAGAGCTCGGTGCTGCTCAAATGACAGTTGATGTCACAGCCGCATCAGGAGTAAGACAGTGATGTCCTACCCCCTGCACCCTCGGGCCAGACCCCCCCCCCCCACAGCCAAATACGTCAGACATTTGGGTCATTGGCTTCAAGGAGGGTCCACCAACGCTCGCTATCTCGCGGTCCAGACTATTGAGTCAGAGGCTAGGGGCAGAGTCCCGGACAAAACCCTACATCCCCCCAATGTCCTGTGAGTCAGACTTTTGAGTCAAAGGCTCAAGGTGGGATACCTCAACCAAACCCCTTCCTCAGCCCGGGTAGCCGTGAAGTATCATTTGCACTTGCAGCTCTTCGCTCACCAGCCTTCCATCTCACACCTCCCAACCGGTCATACAATACAGTGCAATCTACCAATCTGCCAATCTCCCAGCCACTGTTCTGTGTCTCAACCATCGTCTAGAAAAACAAACTAAAATAGTTACCTGCTAACCTCAAAAGATCTGATCCACGTTGCAGCCTTTACTGTCTATACTCTATGTCAAATTGGACAACGGGCATCTCTTTCTGAAACCTTACTTTTNACTAACCTGAAGGTCCGCGGTTCGAATCCGACCTCCGCCACTCGACTTCCCCTGTCTAGGCTTGGGCAACCTGGCAGTATCCCAGCCCTCGTGCTCCCTTCGGGTGGCATGGCAGCTAGGCACCGAAAGGGTGCTACAGCTGAACGCTTTTATGCGGTTGTCTGGCTCAATCAATTTCAATGCAGATGGATGCGGTAAACGGTGTCTATCGTATCAACGTACACTCCGACAGAATGCAGTTCTGAAACTGAGAAGTACAAATTTACTCGAGATCTGTCGTGACCGTTGCGTCAGCAAAAAGGACGGATACATTAATTATGGTAGGTGATATGATTGCCCAAGTTGGACAACTAAACCCGGAAGAAGCACAAGTAGGTAGTAGATTTGGAGTGGATGCTGAGCATACGGATAATGGGGAGCGATTGTTTCAGTTGTGTGCTGATCATCATCTCTCCCTGGCGAGTACGATTACCGATGAAGAGTGCCAAAATTGTCGTTCCTTTTAGTGTACCCAACTTGACCCTGATCGTGTCATTGTACGAGTCCTGTTATGACTTCGCTTTCCGTCAGCCCGAAACAGTGCATTTCCCTTCATCAATTTCGACAACTTCCAGTAGCTCAAGCGTATCGAGCTGAGCTGGCTAGAAAGCCATTGGGGGCGCAGTGCCATGCGGATAACGAAAATTGTTTGGAGGTGGAATTGAAGCGAGTCCAAGGAACTATGCTCTCAGCTTTCAGAACCGTTTATCGAAGCGACCAAACTCGACTAAATGAACACTGAATTTCGTCGATATCTCATTGCTACGAGAGAGGTCATTCCTGTAATTAGTGTCTGTAATGGCACACGCATACCTCCCAAACACCGGATAACCAAGATCTTGAAGAATGTCAGAGAGCTCTGGTGGATTGCGAAGGTCCTGGAGATGTAGAAGGCTTTCGTTTTAGGTAAAAGCCGCACCCTATTTCAGCTGCTTCGATCAACCGATCGAAAGAAAGCAGGTGTCGATGAAAAAGTGTGCGAGGAAGGCGGAACGGAGATTCACTCCTTTAATCGTCGTCTTGAGCAATAGGCTGAGCACTTTAGAGAACAGTTTAACTGGTCTTCTACACAACCGCTGGAAGAACTCAGCAGGCCTGAATAGAACATCGTCACCAATTTGGTATCAGCAATTGACATCCAGCAGGAGTAAGCATTCCTGAAAGGCGATAAGGTAGCTAGTCAGGACGTTATGCACCCGGTACTCTTCAAAGAAGGTGTCAGGTCATAGTGAACAGTCTGAGAACGATACTACAGAAGATCCGGAACTAAAACAGATTCCCAATCGTCATCCCAATCTTCGAAAAGGGCACAAGAGCATAGCTGTATTTTACGGACATTGAAAAATGCGGACGATATTGCTCTCTTTGGTTCAGATCCTTCCCAAATGCGAACGATTTTAAATAACCTAAATAACTCTGCCTCACTGTTCAGTATAGGTTCACACCCGCAAAGTGTAAAATGCTGTTAGAAGAATCTAACCGAAATCTGGCGCTTGCAGATGAGTTAATCAACGTGGTGAATAAATTTGTTTACCTGGGCGGTTGTATGGACTTGCTGAAGATGAGATATTCAGGTCTGGTGGGGATAATGGATTGTTAATGCTGAGATACGCCAGATGGTCTAAGGAAGAAGCAGCCTTTTCATGATAGATGAATTACTCACGCTTCATAGGTTATGCTGTTTAGGACATGTATTCTGCATGCCAGAAAACCGTTCGCCTCGCAAGAGCCCCATCCATGTGCTGAGTAGAAGTGACCGATAGGTGGACAATGTATAACCTGGCAACGAAGTATGGAAACGTTAACTAGCAAACTTAGTCGAGTCGACAGCTGCTGCCTCCCTGGATGGGGACTCCGGGACTTAAGTCACCAATGGTTAATGACACTGGCAGAAATGGTCCAATCGCACGGTCAGTGGCACCCGTTCGTCAAAGCTACCGATTTCAATGCTTAGCCACCCAATTCCAAAACCTCTATGGCCTCCAAGGCCTGGTCGTATCTCTCTCACTCTCCAACTTTTCAGCGATCGAAACTGTGGCAGCTGGAACCAATGTGCCTTTGGTACATGGTTTATAACTGGTAAATTGATTGATTTTGGATGAGCCACTCAGCAGTAATTGACCAAATCACTAGAAGGCTTAACAATTCGGTATAATCTGTGATTAGTCTTGCGCTCTGATAAATCGTACATGCCTCTGATGGGACGTATTGAGACGGTTGTCTTGTAACACTTTGATAAGCCACGCAGATGTGAATTTCGCCTGTCAATTGGTCTGATGTGCCGGATTTGTTCATATAACGGTTTAATTGTTTTACTACGCTCTCTGTTGGAAATTTCCCATCGCACAACTATCCCAACCGCTATCCATTCTGCATGTAACCATGCATCTCTGGGTTGCCTGCAGCTTGTCTGTTGATTTACTTTTATACATATTTACGGGCAACTGATATATATATATATATATATATATATANAAATATTCAGGTCATCCAGACGTTTAATTTATGGAATACAGTAGCTATGGAGAAAATGGGGTATTTTTGTTTCGCGCACAATTCGGATCCCGCGATTCTTCCATATACTCTTAGCTACTTAACTCCTCTAACAGTAGCATATTTGCATATTTTTTATGTATGACGGACGCATTTCAGGATACTCCATAGTTGGAATGGGGCGTTACCAAGCGGGTTATCGAATAATTCGAATCTTTTGCATTATCGCATCGCAACCGCGATGGTGTTTACTGTGATACGTATCGATCAGTGTTTTTTCCACGAAACTCGACTCTACGAATGCTGCTTTCGACTGTATCAATCACAAACCCTATTTTGTGTCCAATTTAGCCATGCCCTGTTCCTTGCGCAACAGCTCAAAGATATTGCTCTAGAAGCACAGGCTTGCTACAGTCTTGGCAACACACACGGGATACTTCAGGATCACAGCACTGCTGTTGTTTATCTTCTACGTCATCTCGTCATTGCTCGTCGGCTTGGTGACCGTGTCGGTGAGGGTCGTGCTCATTGGTCCCTGACCAATGAGTACACCAGTTTACGGCGTTTTGATTTAGCGGTGCGGTGTGCTAGGCGCCATCGACAAATTGCACGTGAGGTAAGTTACTCGGGTGGTCTCTTTTCTAACGTTTGAAATGACCCCACTGTACTCCAGAACCGAAGGAATACACCGTAGGATAATTAGGTGCTGTGTTTTACGAAATGGAATGAATAAGATTTTATATACTACGAGTATTCTTTGTCGTTCTTCCATCTTGCTGAAGTCCAGCGATTCTTTCTTAGAGAGTAATCCACACACGAGTGGACAATACTCTGTTGTTCCAGTATTTCCACATTCCAGGTCATCAGGTTCAACTTCTCAGCGTGGAACAACGGTTATGCTCGTTTCCACGTCTTCTCTCCATTGATGAGCCACTGTAAAATTAAACAGATGAGACTCACCTCTTCGTATGTATTTATGGAAATTTTACAACCATATTCTTTGGAAAGGAAATCGTGTTCCCTCACAGACAAGTGCCGGACTTATTTTCATGTGGAAAATCCCGAGCAGATACATTAGGGCTTTTGTCTGAGATACAATTTACCTGAGCTAAGGTGCTTTGGGGATGTGTTCACAGCGCAAGGGTCATTGGTGTTCCTTTTAACTCGACTTCTGAGCTGATGAACACAATGCATCAATTTAGGCTGCTTGCAACTGTTTAGCCAGTTTTGAAGAGCGATCGCGTTTGCTTTGTCAATTCAGATACGTTAGCGTGCCTGCCATTGTGTGAAGTAGACGTTACTTAGCTTCGAAACTAGAGGTGTTTCCTCGGAACCCCTCGTGGAGTGGCGCCTCACGCTTTAAGGTGTGTTGCTTTCCTTCTGGGCAACGTCAATTTAGAGTTTCGTCGAGTGCTCTGCCAGGCTCAACCTAACGTTTGATTCGTTGGGATTCGTTTACGATTCGGATTTACTTCATAGGTAGTCAGCGGACTATGAAGTCCCAGTCGAGGTTTCGTCGTGTTCATGATCTGCGTCAATCTACGATGGAAAGTCGAACAGTGTTCTACAGCTGTTCCTTTTTGGGAGTCAAATATATTACGAGGCCCTCAGATTAGTAGTTTGGCCGCGTACAGTTCGAGCAGATCATCAACTTCCCCTAATCACGTGGTTCACTCCTTGGGAGTTGTTGTTGACCGGCTTCTCGTATATGATGCTGATTGGATTCTACCTTTCTCAACCGGTTTCTTGTTTGCCATTACTTAAGTTCAGTTCCTCTCTAACTAGTTCCCTAAGTTTGTCACGCGACAAGTGGCATAAACCGCAGGGTTCAACAGTCATAAAGACAACCCACTTCGTGACCTTCATCCGAACAGGTTTAGTTTGTTCGCATTGATACCAACGCTGTCTGAGATGCGTGACTGTCGGGTTAATTTTTATGCGTTCACACTTCGAATCCGTAACCAAGTAAGTGACAATTCGAATCTTCCAGACACCACCGATTTAGATAGATCGAAGTTATTCCTGGCTTGGAGCTGTCAAGATTGGTTTGAAACCAGATTAATACAAACAATCTGTTTTTTCCTTATCTTTGTCTGAGCTCAGGACAGACAGATGGCTGCTACGCTAACGATAGTGTCTGGCGTTCGGTCTGCTTTTCAAGCATCATTGTCGGCTTATCTGCCCTCGAGACTGCATAATCTCTGTGCGTTTGATATGATTATCTTTCCGTGTTTGATGTATACGGTCTCTGACATGTGGCGCGATTGCTCTCCTGATTAGCAGTGGTTTGGCAAGAAAATGCACTCTGTTCGAATGCCGGACTTTCCGTCGATGCTTGCAACCGTGTGCGCACATGTCTGCTCTGCGCCTGTCAGGCTGTCGCTCACACAGCCCGGTTTGAGCATATGGGTGGCGGATCAGTGTGAGTGAATGTCAGGTGGAGTGTATTTGCCTGTGTTGGGCTGTTGTTTGTTGGCTGTCCTCGTGATCGATGGGCGAGACACATAAATGCACTTAAGCACAAGTTGTTGCATTTCGGCCTGCTGAGTAAAATGGAGGGAGCTGTGTCCATAATCAGCGTCCATCCTCTGTCATTGTTTACTACTTGCCTGTTTGTTGGCCTTACGAAAACAAACCTCTTCACTACGACAGTTTATTTGTCATTCCGTTTGTAACTTGCTTTTGTGTCGCCTTTACAGCTTCACGACGATGCGGGATTTATAACAGCACAGTTGATGATTCGTGAGATAAAGTGTTTATTGAACTCAAACGATGCAGCCACTCCCGGTGGTGGAACTAACACCCAACTCCCGCCACCATCGTGTGTACCCGTAGAGGGTGGGAAAGAACCACACAACGCGGTTTTACGGTGCCCATCGAATCCCATCTGGGACCCTCCATCCAGCGGACTAACATGGTCCCCGCGATCGGCTCCCATACTAAGCGGATTTGAAGGCATTCCAACAACTGCTGCGGGGTCTTCATCACTTATTCATTCTTCGAGGGGGTCAGGAGAGGAGACTGAGGAGGATCAGGACGATTTCGATCCGGACTTAGATGCGGACTTGGAAAGAGAACTGGCGGCATCGGCAGACGAAGTGCTCGATACTGTGGAATTAGTCACAACATCCGATGGGAAAACAACAACTGTTCTTATAGGTTGTTTTGGTGAGTTGGTGTTGTCCAGCGTGATTCGTAATCACACAGCTTCGAGGTCATCAGGCTGAATTTACGATTTGGTTTGTGTGTCCGTTAATTGATCGTTGTTCTTTACTACATCATAAATACAAACACACCACTGATGGGCTGTCTTCAAGTGCATCCAGTCGGATGAAAGATTTCGTGAGGTTTGTGTTTCCTTAGGATCCTGTAGCTGAGGGTGATAAAAATAACGGTTATTGCTCCGTGGCGATTAGGCCAATGTCGCTAGAGGACGCTTGATTCATCGACAGCGCCTTTCTCATACACTTCATCATCTCTGTGGCAGTTTGAAATTCTGAACTTCCGTCCCCCAGCGATAGACGAATGAATAGACGGGAAATCATGTGGTTGCATAATTGTTTCGAACGTGTTTTCCACTTTTACCCGAATCGCTCTCTGATGCGGTGTAAAAATAAATCATAGGACAATCGGACACTTCATAGCCTCCATGTATAGGTTAACGCTTATCGATGTAGCTGTACAGCTGTAGTGAAGCTACCTGCGCAGTGGAAAAATCGACCAAGTCCAGTTTCTTGGGCTGCTGGAGCAACTCCTGAACTGCTTCCCCTACTCCTTCTCCATGGGAACTTCTTCGTCCAACAACTCTTACACAAAGTAACTGCAATCAGGTTACTTGCTTTATTGCATGGCCACTTTCTGGCGGACACGCACGGGTCACCGCTGTCCGTGTGGCAGCAAGGTCCGGATGCAGTCTTATCCCGTTTCTTAAGTTGAATTGTAACCAACTGTGGATTTCACGTGGACCTCGTAGGTTCGAAGAAATTTTAATATGGCAAAGTTCTAGCCTAGCCTGATTTTGTCACCATTTCGATACGTCACACCGAGCAAGACCCTCTTCAACGATGTCAGTCCTCTCAGTCAGTACTTTGTCAGACAACAGTCGATTTGATTTACATTGTGAATAGCATCGTCAGGGGCTGTCAACGTGAATCATTTGATTGTGTCTACTTTATATCATGGGACACAAAACCCGAAGCGCGATTGTGTAGGGTTTGACGACAAATTCTCCATTGAGGGAGCAGTCCGATTCCACTGTCGGTCTTCAAAGTCGCTGCTTCGCACCCTCCACAGCCGTTGACCCAAATTACGAAGTCGATAGGTACGTTTATCCGCTAATTTCAAAACTACCGACCCTGCTTCGTCGCGTCCTCAATTGCGCTCATGTATCCAAGCTAATGCCTTCAATGCATAACTCCTTTTCCAACCCCCCACTTGACAGCCCACTGACAGTGCTGGATTTATGCATCAATTTATCAGCTCCCGCCTGTAATGCGTAGCTACCCCCCCCCACCCCGAATCATCGGTAAACGAAACTGTGGCAGCTACAACCACTATACGACAAGTATTACAAGTTATGAGAATGATGATGATGATGATGATGATTTGCGTTTTTTAAACGTGAGTTAATGACTTGCTAGGTTGCCACGGGCCGCATGGATACTAACACACCATTTAGTTAGAGCACTGGTCGATAGGCTTGAAGCTGGGAGTAAGCGGAAGTAGCATCTCCGACACGTTATTTAGCAGTTGCTATTCGGGTGTCACAAACGATATTCGTTCGTAACAATTCGACCGGTTAACGTTTGAAACAATGTCTCAGGTTCGGATTTCTTCAGAGCACTCATCCCCGGTTGAAATAAAGTTGCTGATATCTTCTATCACGAGCCGGTGAGTATACCGGTGCCTCACGTAGGTTTTTACGGGTATAGAAGTTGACTTCGTTAAGTGGAAGCATACATTTCATCGTGACAAATCTCGATAGTTTCGGATGCTTTTTCTCTTTGGATAGAGTTCATACCAGTTTAGTGATGACTTGAAGACGGAATGAGAGCCTCATTAAAAAAAAAACAACAACAGCAATATAATGGCACTATATTTATATCAGGGTGTGAGGACACAAGATTATGATCCCAAGGCTGTTGGGGTTGATTGAGTTTATTCGTCATGTGTTTTTTTATTCTTACAAATTTTCCAGTGTTCTCGCCGCTATGATGAGGGTATCACCTTAGATTTGTAATGAAATTCGGTTCCTAAATACCATTTGTTTAGTTGTTCTCCGCATATGTATATCTGTTTATTTTGCAGATATTCCTGAAGATGCTGTTGAGAAGAAGGGGACTATGGTAAGTGGTTTGGGTCGGTGATTTTTTTGCCTTTTATTGAACGATGCATCGATCTATGGGCAACTAGGATGGCCTCGTAGGAGTGAGATAGTGCAGTCCATCAATCGTCACACAACGATTTACGAAGGAAGACTAACGAATCGGTCAAGTGGATGATTGAGAGATCTAGCAGCGTGCACCCATCATACATCAATTTTCCTCCGTAGTTCTGAGATTCAGCTTTGGCCTCCTCACTGAAATTGAACCCTATAGAGCTTTTGTTGAAATGCACTACTGATAATTCAGTCAGTAAATTTACTCCACGATTGATGCCTCACAGGCATTTGAAATACCTGGTGTATGAATCACCAATTCGATTAGACTCTAGTGCTCTGCAGGAAGACGTGGCCCACGTTGTGTGGTTTCATACATTTCACACATATACATAGAAACCATTGGCTTAAGAGGCCTGATATTTGCTTTCATACTTTTCAAAGTCAACGAACCTGGTTCGTCAAGTGGAAAAGAATCATTATTTTGAAAGCTTGGCTCAGTAAGAGAGCGAATTTACTGACTACAAAGCCCGTGGTGCGAACCCGACCTCTGCATCACGACTTCCCCTATTAAGGCTTGGGAAACCTAGCAGTATCCCAGTGCTCCCTTCGGGTGCCATGGCAGTTAGGCACTGAAAGGTTGCTAAGGCTAAACGGTAGCTCAAGTTTCCTGTGAAGTCAAGATGAAATTTCAAGATTAACTACGAGGGTTTCGAACGAAAACCAACAGGGTAACCGAATATAGCATCAGGAAAGGTTACTTTGAAAAAGGGTGTCTCAGAAGTACCTAGCCAACTATCCAGTCAGTGGAGTTAACCAAGTTAGTTTTCGATGAGGCGATTTACTCTCAGAGTTCGTTTACAATATCACCATTGATGTGAAAACATCTTCGATCAAGAACTCTGCGACGAAGGGCTTTCAGCAACCTTGTGAGTAGTTTCCTTTATGAAAACTGTGTAATGTCTTTCCGCAGGACAGTTCGTACCTGCGGTGGCGGTGCAAAATTTTAACCATGTGAATGTGGGATGTAGTCGATTTGGACAAGCAGTCTATCAAATGCTTCACTCGACTCGTCATGTAGCGTGATCGGTTTCACTCAGCAACCCAACGTGCCAACAATCGGTTCTTCATTTGCCGTGTGTCAAAGGAGGCCCACTTCCCCAGATCCTTCTGAGTTGAATGTGTCTGATGTATAAAATATCTCACAGTGTGTCCTTGTGTCCAGTACTCCAAGGTTTGTCAACTCCTGAGATGTTTTTATATATTTAACGCTTTTACTATATATATACCAGGATTCATGTTATTACCACAACAGAACTCTTCCGGATGTGAATATTTGTTGAATCTCATACCAGTCATGAGGTTTCATAGGAGCGAGATGGCTCAGTAGTTAGAGCGTGAATTTACTGACCGGAAGATCCATGGTTCGAACCCGACCTTTGAATCTCGTTTTCTGTCTGAGCAGTATCCCAGCCGTTGTGATTCCTTCGGGTGGCATGGCAGTTAGGCACCGAAAGGTTTTTTTGTCCCCTTTCGTCTGTTCTTCGTCAACTACTCGAAAAATGCTGCTTTTTAGGTAACAAGTTTCCATCAAGGCGGAGCAAGCTCTAAGCTTTAGATATTCTAGTTGTAGAACTTGGAAAATATTATGATGTTGACGGCCTTTCCAAAACCTCGGACGAGTGTCACCAATACCTTCAATTAAAATCCCTGTCGATCACTACAAATTTGGCGTGACTCCCTATAACTAGGTCAGTTTTTCTCTTTCTGTTTTTCTTTCTGAGTAATGCTCATTTCATTCCATTTTGTAAGACTCACCTAATCAGTCGAATAATAAGTTTATGGGGCTAGTTGTCCGGTGGAATCGAGCTAAGTTGATTTCTGGCCAGGCATTTTCCCCTAAAGGGATCCAACAGTAACTTATCGTGACCGGAATGACTTCTCTACGGAGAGATCCCCTGTACTTCCAGTATGTCTTGGTTCAACCTAGGACGGTGGAAAAGCCAGGAATAGGTTTAACCTCCTCCGGACCTCGCGAACAAGTGCTTGTGACCGGATCCTGGAGCTGTCTTGAACTTCACCGTGGTGGGCTGACTGGTTTTGACGCGTGCTCACTGTTTAGTGTTTGTGCACTACCGTATTGATTATGGAAACTTAGTTCCTATATTATTTTTGTTGAATTCCTGTCGTCCACAGACAAACTTCTACTCAAACGCTCCCACATTCCAACGGCATTCCACACAACGCCGCGAATCGAGTAACCATTCGGAGGATTTGGAGGATCAACTAGAAAACATAGAAGCAATCGGTAGAGCAAATTCAGACCGTGGTAATGCCGAAACGACCAGCACAGCTGCAGAGGAGGAAGAGCAGGCTGATGATTCGCAGGAGTTTTTCTCGCTTTTACTCGCTTCACAGTCTCGTCGTATGGACGAACAGCGATGTTTTCTTCGTGCAACATCAGTAACTCAGTCTGCGATCACATCAAATGGGCATGCAGAGTCAGGCGATGGTGTTGTTCTTCCATCGGCCACTCCAGCTCACATTGACCAAGCATCGAATGAGGCGCTTTTTGATCTAATCGAAGGGATGCAAGTAAGTCAACGTTTGGTCTTTAGACTGCATAGGACTTGCGGTGTTTGACAAAGCACAACTTTGCCGCACCACAAACAGTTTGATGCACCGGTTAACAATTGATCAATGGTCGTCTCTCTTTGGGGAGGGGTCCACACTCGAGGAACTTGGAGCTGATCTCTTTTAGGGGCTGTTCCTACTACTACTGTCCGACTAATTCCCTATATACATGATCAATATTAATGCCATTCTTGCTGCCATCATCATCATCATCATCATCATCATCATCATCATCATCATCATCATCATCGTCAAAGACAGCAACANAGAGAAAAAGAGTGGGTGAGGCAGGGGACCAAGCGCTGGCTTATGTCAAGCATTCTGAGGTGCCACACCTCCAACCGCTCAATCAGACAATCTGGAAAGAAACTGACAGCACGAACGCCACTGACATCGATTAGCCGACATTTTTTGCAACGTCTCCAGCCAAGCACAGGCGAAGTCACGGGGACCCCATCCTAGAAGACGTACAACACCAAAACTCTTCGTGATCTCTTTCACGCCTTTCTTCCAAGTCATGCACTGTCCACCTCGCGGTTCGCGCCATTCTGAAGGAGACACGGGCAACAACACTCGTCTTGGTAGACGATGTCTGAATGAGTGTTGCCGGCCAGCACTAGTCCCTTCTTCCATCCACTTTTATTCTCTTCCTCACACAAGAAGGCGTTCCAGTAAATTATGATTGAATGACGGCGGAACGTCGGTAATGAAGAGTGATATGCTATCGATGATGATGGCGAGTTATCACAACTATTGGTACCACTTTTGCAAATGGTTTAACGGCTATTATTAGGTGATTGTGTAATATTACCGTAACACTACTCAGTGAGATGTATTTCTCCAGACTTCTCCCTGGTAGGGGATAGTCGAGTGGCTTTTTTTCTCAAGAATTTGTCGATAAATTGTGGCTTTCTTTTGGTGAAGCATCGGTGTTGAACACTGATGTCATGCTGTCGATGATGATGATTCTTTTGGTGAATCAAAGTGAAGACGGTGTGTGGAGACTGGCTTGATTTCGGAGTTTCTTTCCAACACTGGCACTTATGTGACAAGAGTGACCAACAAGGTACGAGTTAGTAAGCAAAATTTAGACTGATAACAGGTAGCGTGTTTACTGGTCACTTGGGTCTCGTGGACTTGATTTAATGCAAAAAATATTGAAATCGTTCTTACAGCAAGAACCTGATCTACGTGTCTGGTTAGCAAAGTTTTTCAAATACTGTGCTCAGCTGAGAGGCAAAGAAGTGTTCATCACCAAGTGTTTGGCACCTGTGGGTAACTCGTTTACAGATCTGTTCATACTACGTAATGATTCAAATGAACCTTACCTATCTACTTACCTCTTTCCAGGGTGACCGGATGGATGATCAGCGCGCCAGTTTGCCGGCCTTTCCGGGTCTCCGCGCCGGGCCTGGTCTTCAATTGCTTGAGAGTAGTTCGTTGAGCAACATCCATGGTGTCATGTTCACCTCCACTGGAAGCGGGGCCAGTGATGGTCTACCCGAACCTCAAAGCCGCCCGTTCTCTGTCACTCGGTTTCAAAGAGCCACTTCATCAGCTGCAGCGGCAAGTGGCACTCCACTTGAACCGGATGCTGAGTTTTTGGACATGATTCTTCGTCTACAGGTTAGCCTTAATTTTGCCTCATGTGACGAGCTTTGTACACAAGTCTTTCTGTTTAGCAGTACCTTTCAGGTATGTTTTCCATTTGACCAGAGGACTATCATAACACGGCATGTAGTGCGTCCGAAGGTGACTGAAAGCATTTAGGACAGTTTCAGAATTCTTCGTACTTTTTGCGGGTTTGTCCCGTATTGTTGAGTCGAAACATACTTTTAATGTGGCTGACACACAACGCGAAAGGGTGGAGACCGTCAAAAAATTTTGAATTTCAGAAATCTCGGTCTGCTTTCTGCGTTAAATTAACCATGTTCTTAGGCTGTTTCGCATTTTTCTAGCTACTTGTATTCGCTTGTGAATACCCTACTCAACACAAATGGATCATGCAACAAAAATGCATGATTGCCTCTTCAAAAACAGCGATGAATGAATTTTCGGGTGTGCGAAAATCGATATCGATCTACTGTGTTACTTCACTGAAAGTTGGACTCCATTTTTTTTTTAATTTATACTACTTTTCTCTCAATCGGTCTATTTCTCTCTCTCTCTCTCTCTCTCTCTCAGACTTCGACACGTATTGACGACCAGAGAAGCAGCTTACCAGATCCCTTGCTCAGGGTGCGAGATGAGACAACCACACGCGACCCCAACTCTACGTCCCAGCCACTCGGAAGCCACCTAGATTCCAGCGGAGATGCTTGTAACCACAATCAGGCAATACACGCGGGTCGCCACTCAGCCCCAACAGTTCCTGACGAAGATTTCTTTGCTCTTATTCAACGAGTTCAGGCGACTCGCTTGGACGAGCAGCGTTGTAATCCACCCGTGAACATCAACCGATCAGATAGTTCTCCTCATGTGGAACCTCCCAATACCGCCCCCACCACCCTACCTGCTAACAGCAATAACAGTGGCAACTCTAGTCAGAAATCGACAAAGAATCCTTCACGTCGCCCAGGTGGTAGTTGGCGCCGTTTATCTTCAAATCAGGGAAAGTGATTGGTGTTCTATTTTTCTCTCCCGTCGTCGCAAGATCAACACCATGAGTATTTTCATCAACGTTTGTCTCACCACCACCACCACCACCATCAACACGGCGTCGGTGTATGTCGATCCGAGCATTTAACTCGTAATTCGTCGCATACCTACATGTGGCTTTTATGCTTCTGTCTATTTCAGAAGAGTTTTCTATGTGTACTTGATTCTACCGCCTTGTCACCAAAGAAGAAAAATATTGCGATCCAAAATCTATCGCTTTTTTCTTTGGAAGTGCAGTAAACGCCACGTACGGACATTGGAGATCGCTTCGAATGATTCCGTTTTAAGCGCCTCACTATCTTTTATCTATGATACGAATTGTTGAGATGAAGGCTTTATCCAAGAGGGTCGTTCACCGTCGAAAAAATGGGAGGTGGGGGTGTCTGGCTCTGTGTTTGAAGCAAGTAATTTTCATCGTCTCATTTCACTGATAGTACTGAAGATTTCTGTATCCCCACTATAGTCCTATCTTAAGATCTATGCACCAAAGTGCTCTTGGGCGGCAACAATGTTCTCTCATTGAAGCTTGAAACTAAAATGGAATCTTGAACTATACTGGTGAATTATGGACAGGATATTATTCTCATATTGTATGGATGAATGTACACTCAAGTCTGTTATATATGCCACTCCATGATCTAAACAACTACTGGGGGGTAGCGAGATGGTTCAGTGGTTAGGGCGCGATTTTACTGACCAGAAGATCCGTGATTCGAACCCGACCTCCGCCTTTCGATTTCCCCTGTTTAGGCTCGGGCAGTCTGGCTGTATCTCAGCCCTCGTGCTTCCTTCAGGTGGCATGGCAGCTAGACGCCGAAAGGGTATTACAGCTGAACGGTTATCATTATTTAAACCACCTCCAAGGGACTACGGCGTAGTGATTTGTATCTTCTCACCGGTGTTGTAAGTGGCATGAATGCAACTGAAATTTCACAGCACAGAATTTATCACCTAACACGGTTGAACCAGTTCGCCTCCTGATGAAAGCCTCATTTTATATTAGGAGAAGCCATTGACCCCAGACTGCCAAAAACAAGTGGCCCAACCCAGTTGACGTATTTGTGAGCCGTTTGGTCAACGAACGTGACGATTCTTGATGGTCGCTTTACCCGTACAGAAACATCACGATTTTTCACCATGTCGGACCAAGCTTTTGTAGAAATGAACCACAAGTCTTCTCGTTTGCTCACGGTTTTGACGGGAGACTCAAATGAATCCGGCTGAATTTCGAGTTTTATTAGAGTGAATGTAAGCATGTTAGTTCGTATGATATTCGATACATCACGGAGCGTTATCTAGACGTGTCATGCTACTCATAACAACGCTAGATCTTCCGCAGCCCTGTGAGTAGTTTCACTTCCAGAGGCGACAAGGTACAGGAAAGAACTGTTCGTTCTTAGTTTAGTGTCTTTTGATTGTTAGATTATTTTCAAATAGTTCTAGAACGCGACACACAAATGATAGGTGAACTGAAATTATTTTGCTCCGCAGCTATTACAATTCTATCATACACTGCATCTACTGCCCATCCACTGTCTCTCGCCTCCAAGAACTTGTTTTGTTGCACCAAGCGACAATCATCTTGACAAGCCTGAAACATAGTTCGTCCTAACAAACCAGTGGGTGCCTTGAGGAGATGGAGTTAACGTCACGATGGGACAGCAATCCGAGATATCCTCGGGAAATAAGAATTGCATAGACCAGATCGAAATTGGCTACAGGAAACAGAACAGATTAGCCGTGACCTCAACGAGGTGAGTTGGCATAGGATTACCTCTTTTCGGCCTACTTTTCAGGATTGGGTGGACAAATGATCGATTGTTTCATATGGGCGAGCAAATTCTTCTCTTTACACGTACTAGAATGAGATAAGGACTACAGGGAAGACGAAACACTGGATAATTCGGGCAGAGCAATCGGTTTTTTGAAGTGATGTGCGCAGGAGCACGGTTTGGAAGGCTGTTGAAGTTATCTCCGCTTTTGAGACCTGCCAGGTCAGATGAAGCAGTTGAAGATATATGGCTTCTCTGGTAAATAATCGATTATATGGGGTACATATTGTATTACATGTTCGTATTAGGTTCGACCAACGTGCTAGCTATACTTAGGGGAGGTGTGTCCGTTACTACCGAGATGGCTCAAGTGGTTAGAGCGCGAATTTACTGACCGGAAGGTCCGTGGTTCGAACCCGACCTCTGCCTCTCGACTTCCCCTGTCTAGGCTTGGGCAACCTGACAGTATCCCAGCCCTCGTGCTTCCTTCGTGTGGCATGGCAGCTAGGCACCGAAAGGGCGCTACAGTTGAGCGATTTTTTTTACGACTGTTATTTATTCGTCCGTACTTCATCGTCCATCGTAACCACAACCGCTGGATTCACTGTAACGTTGGTTGTGTCAAATTTTAGTCTTGCAACCAGATGACGTTTTGAAAAAGTGGACTAATTCCATTAACCTCGCAACCACTAACCCACCGTTTCGCATCACTATGCTCCCCAATGACGCGCTGATGATGTCACGTCGACTGGTGATGAAACGTTTGCAATCAAATTGCCCAGCTCAGCGAGCAAGCCAACGACCGCCTGGTGTATCCTTTTGAAAGTACGCGGAAATGCTTAGGCCCGGGACCGCACGCAGTATTGTTCGTTTAAGATCTTCCAAGTGAAGTTTCCACCTCTCTAAGATTTTTAAACAAAACTTGTTGATATTAGGTGAGTCACTTTTTAAGTCGTTCACGTACGCTATTCGGCTGTCACTCAACATACAGGATATTAAGGACCCTTAGGTGGTGTAGCGGTTTGTTTGAATGCGATCACGAGCGAGAAGTTGAATTTTGTGGCGGGGTGGCTAATTGGGGAATATGTGAACGACCGGCAAGTCAGTAATCAGTAATATATGCGAATGATTTTGTCGTTAGCTCTTGAAGTCTATCCGTAGGCTAGTTAGCTAAGTCAGTCGATCAAAGAGCGTAACCGTGTGTAACCTGTTTTGGAACCATAAATTAGTTGTAGAGGACTGTATGTGTACCGCGAGAAGGTTAGACAACGCGAAATGGATTATGCTTTCAGCTCAATGAGTTCAATTCTGAGGTCATATGGACATTTGGTACAGGACTGCGTTATCGCTGTACTGAGATACAAGGCGCTAGGAGGCTGACATCCATCTGGAGCTTTGTCTGTCGCATCGTGACAATGGGAGCCCAAACACGTGCTATTTCGCGTAGTGCGTGGAACGTTGTGAAGGCATTTTTTAGCTCTTTTAAACTCTAGGCAATATTACAGGCAAAAGCGGAATATATTCATAAAGGCAATGACACGTTGGAATGATTATCAAGTAAGGTAGGGCCGACTAAAAGCATGGGGCGTAAACTGTATGCGCCGTGGACTAATCACCCACGGCATTGGTCACCTACACCAAGGTCAGATGTAAGTAGCGCATTGAGATGAAATAAAACTCAACATGGTCCAACATGGTGCCATTCGCAGAATATCGGTCTCAGGACCCTTAGAGGTACACCGCACGAAAAAAAGCAAGTGTCAGGTGGGTGCGCTCTGCAGGCACTGCATGTCTGGCTCTCTGCTACCGAGTGCTGCGTTCTTATAAACCTGACCTGATTCCACTCCTTTGAAAACATAGCGTTGATACTTTCGGAGTGCTCATAAATCTACCGCCCTTTAGTAAGGCGCCACCATCGTGCCAACCCATTCCTGAAGTCTGTGCGGCTCTGCAAACAATGCGAGATCTACGGGTTGGCAAGTCTGAATTCTTTTTTTTTTGGTGGGGGGGGGGGGGTTGTGGGATAGGTATTTTGTTCATAGCCACTCGCATGTCAGACGTCCGGGGTTCAAATCCCATCACGGCCATTGGATGTGCACTGCTGACGCTCTCTAACAAGAGCAGAACTCAAGTTCAGTGCTTCCCTTTGGTGTGGACTTACCGGGTTAATTACGCCAGAGCAGGAGGACGACCGTTCAGACAAGAGTTGTGACTATGAACAAGTCTGAGTCCATTGTTCAACTGCGAGATGCTCACAGGTGTGATAGGTGATAGTCTTCCCCAAGCCGTTTAGCGGACGCTTCAAAAAGTGTGTGGATGGGGAAGTGGTCCATATTGGAGCAAGGTTTATGTAGAAAGTTATGGGTCCAAGTCGGGTCGGGAAATACTTGAATACCACCTAAGTTTTGTGACCTTTGAAGTTGTGACGTCTGTGTGTACCAGGTTTTGGGAGTGCCAGTCCCACAAGATCGGTTTTTACGAAAACTGTGTTCTAGACTTAGTTCAAGACTTGAGAAGTACTGAGTACTCGTACTCCAGTTAACCGCTTCTAGTGAAGGGGTGGCCGAACTATCCCCCTGCGGACTGAAAAAAAGCCGGAGGCTCATGTCATTCCCGTTCCCCGTTTTTCTCAAAATTATTTGTGCACAGCTGTCTAGTAGTGAATGTTTTCGCGATAATGGGGTGTGATTTATTTCCAAGGGTTTCTTTAATCATGGAAAAAGTTTTCACTATGTTCTCAACAGCTGAACATGTGAACTAGTGCTACAGAGACATGCTCTGAATTCATGTATTTGCTGTTTACCTCATTCCGGCTGTTTCTTTTGTGACGTCATGAAAGGAACATTTTCAGGGAAAAATTTCAAACTGTGGTTTTACAGTGATTTATGTGAGCGCAGCCCTGTTCGGAATTCTGCGGGTAGATAACTAGTTCTAGTAGAATGGTGGTTCATCCGTAAGATTTTAGTCTGCCGTTTTTATTGGTCCGTATTCCTTAGACAAACTAAAGCAGATTTATACCTAGCAATTAGTTGGCAATTTCAAAACGCGTTAGTTCGGGATTTAATCTGTGTGTTAGCTCTAAAAGTCGATCTTTCATCGTGGAATTTCAGGCTTTACTCATCCTGACACTTTCCCACTAAAATTTTAAGTTGATAGTAACGGTAAGGCGCTTGCTACTGAGGGAATAGCTGGACTTTGGGTACATTTTGAAAATGGGTGGGTCGTAATCGATATTGAACGGCCAGTAATACGGATCAGCTGCTTGCCTCGAGTCTGGTGATGTCTGGTGCTTCTGCCATGCTGATCAGCTGTATTCTGCTTTGTGGTCTGTATCATTGAAAGGCGTTTCGAAAGCTGGATGTTTTGTACTTCATCCATGGCCAGTGACGTCACCATGCTTGATCTCCCAGTAGACAGACCCAGGTGACCTT